TACTTCCATTTCTCCTAAGGAATTTTAGGAGTAATATCTGAAATGCTGTTGATACTAAAATGAGAGATATATATCTAAGTCTCCCGAGCTTAGGAAAAGCAACCACTGAGCAATACATTTTTCCTATGGGTTGACCTTAATGCACTTTTTGATGTTGATAACAAAGAATGGAAAATATTTTCTTATGAGTTAGATCAAAAGTAATCTAAAAGTAATCCAAAAGTACTCAGAACACATTACCTATGTGTAATCCAACAGATTATGTTACTAACTACAATTTCCGTTTTGTAATTTGTAATGGACTACAATTTGTAAGTAATCTACTCAACACTGGATACAACATAGAAAAATCAGTATTTTATAAAAGAACATCATTGTAAACTTACTATATTTTTAAACAGTATTTATATATTCAGTAACCATTACAAGCTAACGTTCCCATAATATTAAATTGTTACAAATGACATCATTATACTATGTTTGTTATGTAACATTAACACAATCACATTGACACATTAAGACTTACATTAAGAAACTAGGATTTTAACATTTGCACAACCAAACCAAAACGTTTTAATGCTTAAAAACTTCAGAACCTAAATTGTAGGTGCCGAAACGCTTATGTTGTGAATCGCCTATTGTTGTTTTGTTCCTCATTTGTATGCCGCTTTAAATAGAAAGTTCTGCTAAATGCCTGGATGTCAATATGAATGTAAATTCCTCATCAGGTAGTGTATTACTTGCTTGCGAGAGCTGTGCTGGATCTATCTGGTGCTCTTTGGTCGTCGCTAATGTCGGGCTTGAATAAAGAAATAGAACTACTGAACTGCTGTAAATCTGGTGCCCAGACGCTCATTGGATCAGCTCCAGATGTGGAGTATGTCTGCTTTATGCTGGTTTGGGGGGTTTAATCTGTGGATAGAGACAGAATCTGGATTATAATCCACCATTATAACACTGGAATCAGCATTTGATACTGGCGGACGGACTGGTTTTGACCGGAGAATTGTGCTGGTTTGAACCGGGCAGGCAGTCTTGGTCCTGGTTTTGATTTTAGAACTGGTTTGGGCACAGTGGAGATGGGGGCCGCTTCATCATTCAAAGAACCATGGACTAAAATATTGTCGGAGGTATACTCATAAATATACTCAGAGGGTAAATGAATATGCTAATGCTTTTGTGTTGCATTAATGCACCAAAGAACGTATTCTATAGAGTTTTAATAGTATTAACTTTTCATTTATAACACTATACTTTTACTTTTTATGGTTATTTTTCTAGGATGAGTCGCTTTTGCTGTACTGTTCCTCATTTTTAAGTCACTTAGGATGCGAGTGTCTGCTAAATATATAACCGCACATGTAAATTGGATTATACCAACCCTAACCTTTACTTTAATGTTAAACCAACTGAGCCAAAAGTACATTCATACTATTCTTATTAGTCCCTTTATAAAGAAATGTTCCATATAGGGACGTCCCTACAAGGTGACGTCAAGTTTTGATGTTTTTAATACTTTGTCGCCTCGAGAATTGCAAAATCTGTCCATGTGAACAGCGACACAAAGCGTCTTTACTTCTGGTAGCAGTTTCAAACACGGGGACTTTGGCTTTCATAGAGCTAGTCTAGATTCCTCTTGCACTTGTTGCGCTTCATAGACATGTTTGCATTGCTGAAAATGTCAGACAGCCAAGCATCCGTTTGTCACATAATACGCCATCTCACTGATCACAACCTCAAGATTGTATGCGATCATACAGCAGATTTTAAAATGGCCCTCTTTAAAACTTCAGCTGCTGGGTGTCTGCTGCTCTTCTAGTGTTTCTTGTGTGGACTAGAGACTGTGTTGTGTAAGAGGAGGTGATCTGTGTTTAAATGAGGCCAGCTAATCGTATTAGGTCATTTGAATTACCCAGATGCTGACAGGGGACTTTGGCACTGTGTGTGTTTCTTAGCCGTATTCTTCCATTGGTAGTTTTAATAGCCTCACCAGAAATGAAAATTCAGTCATTGTTTACTCACCCTTGTGTCGTTCCAACTTAAATGCTGTTATTTTTTCCATGGAACACAAAAGTAGGAATTTTAAAAGATTTCCATGCGGTTCTTTACGTATATTGATCATTTATAGGGACTGCAAAACAGAAAAACACAAAAAAGGCAATAAAGATATCATAAACATAGTTTATTTGTGTTAATAATGTTTTGCATTAAATTGTTTACAAAATTTCAGTCTATTCCTCGCACATGTTACTTCAGAAGACATAGCATGCACGTTTGGACTTTTTTACTGCATGGTTTTTGGTTTAATTTTGGTTTGGTTTGTTCAGATTAAAACAATTCATATTGTTTTGGAACGACATGATGGTGAGTAACTAACTAATGACCAAATTTTCATTTTCATTGAACTGTACCTTTAAATAATAGACTGAAAGTTATAATGTGGAGTGCAGAAACCTAGATCATCACCCACATGTACATCCTGTGTCTGTGCACAAACACACAACGTTCATCCTGTCTGCTGGCTGAATGCATGCGGACAGTTTGCACGAACAGGAATGAAAGTAGTGTCTTCTTTCATAAGGACAAAGTGAAATGGTCTTGTGCGTCTAACGCTCGTACAGATGGAGGGAGGGATTATCTGACTGGATTCTTCAGACTTCGAGATGGTTGAAGAGAAAATGGGGGGATGCTGGAGTCAAACGAAGGTGATCGAAGCGATACTACAGTACGATACCATTTACGTGTTGAATTTAGGGTAAATTCTGTCTAATGTGTCAAGTAAAGTTGATGTGATTGTATTGTGCACTGTAAAGATTTCAGCAAAGAAATGAAATTTCAGTCGTTGTTTACTTAACCTGATGTCATTCCAAATGCTGTTATTTTTTTGACACAAAAGTAGGATGCAGTTCTTTTCATATAATGATCATTTATAGTGACCAAAAAAAGGAAATAAAGAAATCATTAAAGTAGTCCATACAATTTATTTGTTTGGGGAGTGTTTAATAATAACACTTTTTTTTTCATAAAACTTGTAAAAAGGTTACAAAATTTCAATCTGTTCTTCACTCAAAGCTAGCATATTACTTCAGAAGACATGGAACATAGTATGCAAATGCAAGTATTGTTATCAGGAGACATTTTAGGATTTTAGAGTTGCTGTATGGTTTTTTAGAAATCTAAAAAGTTCTTCATTTCATTATAGGTTCGTAAGTGTTTTGATTTCTGGGTTTCGTTCTTTGTAGAACTTAAAGGGATGAGTTTCTTTCTTCTGGAAAGAAAAAAATACTATGCAAGTCTGTGGAGACCAACAACTGTTTGGTTATCTAAATTCTTCAGAAAGTCTAATTGTGTTCAACAGAAGAAAGAAATTCATACAACTTACAACAGGTTCTTTTATGACAGTTGATTTAAAATAAGTTTTGGCTCTATCTGGAACATTTATTACCCACAGTCATGTGATTTGAGTAGTTTAGAGGGACATTAGCAAGAACTTCCTGTTGTGTTTCGTTATGTATGGCGTTTTTGGGGTTGTTTTGTACAATCCAATTACATATGCTTCATAAGTTGTTGGTGCAGTATATAGGATTTCTTGCTGGTCAGATACCGATATTGGATCAGTTAAATTAACAAGTCTAAGTATTTTCTGTCATATTTTACCCAGCATGCAGCAGGCTCTTAAACTGAGCCCGTCACGTCTCAAATGTGTGATCAGTGTTAGCTGAGGTGTGACAATTGAGTGCGTCTGCTAATAGGACTCATGTCTGTGGTGTGTTTGTATGTTGTAAAGCGGTTTTACTGGAAATCATCTGGAAATGGAAAATTAAAACCCTACACACTCCTCATCAAACCTGTATGCAATCATCAATAGATGACCACAACACAAGATATTAATAAAACTTTCAGGGCCAGTAACTCTAGCACTGCAAACTTAATGTGGGCACACGCGTTTCTGAATGTGGTTTAAGTGGTTGGATCACATTTTTTTTTTTTTTAGTATGTACGTATCCTGGAAACATAAAATCACCTGTATTCACTTCCAGATTTCAGTTTTTAATAAAACTTGGACTGTTCACTCTATAGATCTGGTTCCTTGTGTTTTTCTGATAGGAAACCTTCAGAAACATCTTGAACTTGATGCAGTAGAGATCAAAGCTTTAATTTGTGAATTATGTATTTAATGATTTGTACAATGATTTGTGAGCCGATCTGTTTAGATTTTGACTTCAAAACCTGGCAAATTTAAAATTTCATATAAAACTGATACATGTAAACTGTTTTTTCAACCTCATACTGTATAGTTTGCACTTACTACTTTAGTAACATCATTCTAGCACATTAAAGGGGTCATATGATGCTGCTAAAAAGAACATTATTTTGTGTTTTCTAGTTGTGTCCTCTTTTGGAAGGCCAAACAAAGTAGTTTCGCTTTCACAACGAAGCACACGGCGTCTTCAGGACATGGCTGCAGCATCAACAATACTACAGTGAAAATAAAAGTTACGCCTTCTTTCTTTTTGTGAACATTTGGGCGGCGTTATGCAAATTTTCCCAGATCGTGACGTAGGTATGTTGGGGGCGTGTTAGAACGAGCCGTTGTAGGTGGCGTGGTTAACTCTTAACTTTTATAAAGAATATCTCTTTGGTTTTGAGACTTTAGTGTTTGCAACTTTTTCAGATCTTCTTTATGCACCAAGAGCTTGTAACACTCCAAAGAGAAAGGAAAAATTGAAATCGCATCATATGACCCCTTTAAGTGAAAATACAAAAATTCATGCATTCGTTAAAAAGGTCACTATTTTTGACAGTACTCGCTTTCATGTCAGTATCAGGGTGGGCTTTTCCTGTCCACTTCCTGCTGACCTAGTAGAATGACACGTAGAACCTTTTGTTGGTGTGGTAAATTTTTTTATTTCAACAGCTAATTTAGGATGTCGAAACATCAGGCTGCACTGTTATTGTGCCAGCTTTAACATATCTCTCTCTCTTTATTTCTCTCTCAGGATCAGTTTGATAACCTGGAAAAGCACACACAGTGGGGAATCGACTTTGTGGAAAAATACACCAAATTTGTGAAGGAAAGGTCTGAGATCGAGCTTAACTATGCAAGACAGATCAGGTGAGTGTTGCATCAACCTCTGTGATTAATACATGTGCACTAAATATTTTGGTTTGCATAAACGTTATACATGAAGACTTCTAAATTATGTATACAGGCTTTTATCATGGAATGGGTAATTTTCAGTTGCAGAATAACTAATAAAAAACATTACATCCTTAAAGGGATAGTTCACTCAAAAATGAAATTTCTGATACCCTGTTGTAAAAGATGGATTAATCTATTTTATGCTGGTTTAATCTGGACTCTCAGTCTTGCCAAACTGGTGAAAACCTCTTTAAAACCAGTCAAAAGATAAGTCTGATCAAGCTTGGAGACCTTTTTAAGCTGTTTTTCAACACAGGTTTGTGGCTTGATAGGTCAGCGGTCATGTCTTATCTCACCTATGACACAGTATCACCATCAGATCTCAGGGTTCTTCCACACAAATCCCCACTTTAACCCCTGAATTGCATCTGTCATGTCTGTGTAAATAAAGACATGACAGATGCAAACACACATACACACACACTAATAATTACACATGTGATGTTGCTGCTGACAGCTCAAGGATACAGGAAGAAAGGGCAACATTTGTGTTTTCTGTGTGTGTAAGTTTGGGAAGAAAATGCAGGTTTCCGTGGTAACAAGGTGCCAGCATGGTGTTCCTGGTTGGTGACCTACATTTGCAGCAGCCAATCACGTGCCACGACTCCGCCCCCCATTCCAGTGATAGGATTTAAAACTCTCTCTCTCTCACACACACACACACACACACACACTTTACATCATCCC